TCTTGGCTTCTTTGTACAGCTTTCCTTCCTCCAAGGTATGGGATGGAATGCTGTTTGAAATGGGGGTCTTATTATCTACAATTAGACAAGGTAGGTCAGAGAACTTCCTTATTGGCCAGCTCCAATATAGAAATATGGGGGAAGATTCCTGACTTGGGGAGAATAGAGACAGAGAGATTCTATCTTCTGTGGCCTAAAGCACCCCAACATTACAACAAGAGCTATGGGCATTATGAGCCAGGAACCATGGATGAAAACCAACATACATACATTTCATAATATTATACTTCATCTTCCTTCATTTCCTTTACCCATAGTATTTATTAATTCAGTTGAATCAAATTCTGCAGGTTTGAGTTGGGTATTGAAGCAAAATATTCAGAGACCATCCTTATTTCCTGTTATCTGCAAAGTATTTCCGGCAGATGTGGTTTAGTCATTTCCACAGGTGGTCCCTGGTAGCAGAGTGTGAAGGACTTGGGGAGGGATTTCTATTAGTGGGCTCAGTCCCATGGGCATAAACATCCATTTTGTTGTGTCTGAGAAATCTGTGACTCTGAACAGTGGTGCCAGACTTCTGTTTGTGCTGGCACTCTTAGGAGACCTGAGTAAGCAAGCGCTTGCTTACCTGACATGCCTACTTGTGGAGTTTTGTTTTGCGTCATTGGATTGTCTGATTTGAGTTTTTCTTATGTTGCGAATACGTAGGTGCAGTGAAGAAATTTTTACCTTGGGAAAAAAGTTTTGAATAGACTTGATCTCTTGATTCTCAGTACGCTTAAGATGAATTTATCTACCCTGGAACAAAGGCAGCGTGAGGTATGAAGCTTGGCAAGGTGTAGGGCAGCTAGAAGATCCTGGAAAGAGGCCCGGGCCGTAAGAGGAATTCGCATCCATGGAGAGGTTCTAGAACTAGAAAATCAATGTTATATTTAGAGATGATACACATTTTGGCAATGTCAAGATAAGCTCAATTTTAACTTCTAGAATCAGATTGCTAAAAAACAGGTCAAAATTTTAAAGTAAATAGTTTTACCATTTGTTCTTCCTCTAGATCTAAAAAAAAATATCCATTTAAGTCATTCCTGGTGATTCTGAGAGACCATAAGAGCATTGCCTTGTAGCTTAAAAACAAATAAACAAAAAAAGACTTTAGAACGGAGACTAGTGCATTGGAAGACAGATAAATGCATATAAAAGGTAATGCATTTTTGGAACATCTAGGAGGCCATAGCATAGTGACCAGTTTACATAGATAGTCCCCAGTTTTACTCTTTCTAAACAGATGTAGGACATAACTAGCTGCTGATTTTTTTTTCACCCTAAGAATTAAATTTTGTTTCTTTCATGAATCTATAATATTTTTATAGTGTGACAGCAGAGACTTTGGAGTGAAAGTTGAGAGTTCTGATGCCAGCTTCACCATTTTTAAACTGTGGAGATGTGGGCTAATTGTTTAATTTTTGAGCTTTTCTTATTTGCAAAATGTGGGGAACACTATGTACCTCAAAGGTTGTTGAGAATATTAAAGCGCTTCTGAGAAAGCCTGCCACCTAGTAGTTGTTTATTAAATGTTAAATGAATTAAATTAGAAGCAATTTAAATCTAAAATTTCAGTGCTAAAGTACAGGAATACACAAAATAATTTGATTCTGGGTTACTTGCCTTAGGGAGTTTGGCTTTGGAAATTTTGAAAACGTGCTCAATTTGTTTCTTCCCTTTAGCCCATTGCTTAATGTCTTTTTCGAGAACACTTTGCTATGTTCCAGGATAACTCTGCTCAGAGCACTGAATCTGGGGAGAATATTCATGACCTCAAGAAATTAATGCCCTCTCAGAATGGTGGTGGAGCAGAGTAATGAGGGTCTGAAGTCATTTTTTATCATTGTTTACTGTTGTGACCATATTACAAATATAAGTAGCTGCCATTTATTTCTGATTACTCTGTGCCAAGTACTATACTGAACACTTTATAAACATTATCTCACTTAATCCCTATAATAACTTGAGATGTAGGTGTTATGCCCTCATTATATGCATGAGAAAATGAGGTATACTGTTTTAAGAAATATGTCTAAGCTGGTAAAATTTAAAAGCTGGGATAGTGCTGTCTCAAATTAGCCTTTATGATTTGGTACTTGTACTAATCTGGGTAATAGTTTAGCTCTTTGGAATGTTAATACAGGTTGAATATCCCTTACCCAAAATGCTTAGGGACTAGAAGTGTTTTGAATTTCTATTTTTTTTTTTTTTAATTTTGGAAGATTGGCATTATACTTACCGGTTGAGCATCCCATATCCAAAAATTCAAACTCCAAAATGTTCCAACAAGCATTTCTTTGAGCATCATGTTGGTTTGGTGCTCAAAAAGTGTCAGATTTCGGATTTTTGGATTTGGGATACTCAGCCTCTATGACATAGAGCTTACTGAGGGAGTGATTGGTATTCAGAATCTTTAACCACTTGATGCTAATTAGGACTTAGGGGAGATCTAAGGAATTGATTGTGTATATCCAGTGCTAGTTTTTCTGAAATCATTTTTCTGGTGTTTTGATTTTGACTTTCGTACATCCAAGACAAGTATAGCATACTTGGGAATGACTATCTAAATCAGTGTTGCTAGCCTTGGCTACACAAAAGAATAACCTGGGGAGCTTTATAACCCGAAGCCTCGTCCCCATACCCAGATGTTCTGATATAAACTAGACGGTGCCTTAAGTCTTCTGGAGACCAGCCGAGTCTGGACCCAGCCTGGGATTGGGACTGAGGGGTAGGCAGGACTGAGGTCAGTCCCTCAGATTGTTGGAGTCACACTCCTGGGGCTCGTGTTGCTTGCTAGTCTGGCTCCGCACACAAGGGCAGCCTCTACACCTCAGTCCCCCACTTCAAAGTGGAGGAGGAGGAGAAGGAAGTAAAACAATTTTCAGCGTTTGCACCGTTCCAGTCAGTATGATCTTCCAGGAAGATCTGCCTGGAAGGTTGTCGTCAATCCAGTACAGTTCTTGGGATACAAGTTTTCCATTGCTTATTTATGCTTTGGATATACTGGTTCTGTGTATGATTTGCTTTACTACTCCGGTAACATCCCAGAGGCATCTGCCATGTTTGTAAAACATAGGTAAGTCAAGGAGATACATATATATTTATTTATTTTTTATATTTTGGATAGTGTCTCCATTGTCCAGGCTAGAGTGCAGTGGCATCATCATAGCTCACTGTAACCACAAACTCCTGGGCTCAAGTGATCCTCACGCCTCAGCCTCTTGAGTAGCTGGGACTACAAGCATGTACCACCACGCCCAGCTAATTTTTAAAAAATTTTTTGTAGAGATGAGAGTCTCACTATGTTGCCCCGGTTGGTCTCAAACTCCTGGGCTCAAAGTGATCCTCCCATCTTGCTGGGATTACAGGCGTGAGTCACCGCACCTGGCCATGGAGCTATTGTAAATGTTGGTCACAGGTGCTATTTTCTGTCTGTGCAATTATGTTTCCCATCTTTTCTTCTCTCCTTCACTATTATCATGCTCTTCTCAACCTAACGGCTCTCCTGATCACTCCACAGCCTCCTTTAATCTGAACAATGACAGATGTCAGTAAATCCAGCTGTGGACAATAGTCTAGGCAGCAGAGGATTTTTAAGGCAGATAAGTGGTTTGCTATTTGCCAGAGTGCCCTATTGGAACACGGATTCTGTGGAAATATGGTGTTAGCAGGTTACCAGTTGGAGCAATAAATTAAATTTTCACTAGCAAATATTTGTCCACAGTCATTTAAATCATTTTTTATTCCATTTACACATGAGGGGGCAGTATGGTACTATAAAGCAAGTGCTCTCTTGAAATTGCTTATTTTTATTGATATGTAATAGTTTTTAGGTGAGAACTTCTAGACTGTGCAGTTACAACTCCAACGTCATTGTTAGTCATTAAATGTACTACAGATATGTAAGTGACACTCTCATATCACAGGCCGTGTGCCTGTTTTTATTTAAATGTGTGAGTATTAGTTTCCTTGTAACGGGGATGTTCATTCAGTGCCTTTTATCGTGAGTCTTGCGTTTGGTTTCAAGCGAGCTGGCTTTCTTCCTGTTGCCTGCTTCCACCTGAGGAACGTCAGCCCTTTGGAGATACAGTGTCTGTTAGGCCGATGTCTCTCATATATTTTATTTTATGACTTTATTGAAGGCTGCAGAGCCTCCAGTGTTGTTGGAAGGAAGCCTCTGAACTCAGGTCTTGGCAGCTACGGGAGGTCTGTTATAAATCACCTCTGTATGCTTCCCTTTGTGGCACAGATTGCTTTTCTCAAAAGAAAAAAAATCGCTAAGCAAAGAAGCAGCACATTTTAATTAATGTTATTATTGCTGATATATAAATGACATTATAGATAAATCATGCTAACATTCTAGGTTTTATAAATGGAAGGGGAAATTACTAAGAGATTAGAGGGTATTAAATGAATTGATAAAATCTATAAAACATTTTATGAAGAATGTAAATGGAATCCAGAAAGGTAATTTCATAAGCACAAGCCATTTTTAAATGTGTAAAAAACATTTGCAGTCATATGTTTCTGTTTACATAGTTTGAAAAAAAAATGGAGACCAACATTTTGGCATAAATATAACCTTCTGTGAAATTTACTGAGATACTTCTTTTTAATGTTTTATCCTGGCTACTTCCTTTGGGGATGAAGAGCTATAGTACTTTCTGTACCTGGTAAAGATAATTACACTTGGTTAGCTTTGGAATGAATTACTTGAACTATAATGATTTGATGTTGCTTTTACTTAATGAGGAATTTTTTTATTTTTAAATCTTCTTTTAAAAATAAATGAATAAAAGGCCTACAACTTATACCCCAAGTTTGAAGGAATGGATTTTTAGCTCTAGCCTATCTTGAATGAACTCCGAATCACCTGTCATTCGATGCCGATTTGCTGTGACAATATCCAGGTTTCTGTTCATGGTAAACAATTCATGTCCTTTATGCTTTGATGGCAGATTTTTCGGACCCCGCCTGATACCACATTCCCTGAGCCCACCTGCTTATCAGCATCACCCCCAAATGCTCCACCAAGGCAATCAAAGAGACAAGGCCAGAGGACGAAGAGACCCGTGGCTGTCTATAATCTTTGTCTTGAGCTGGAAGATGGTAAGATATTCATTATATTTTCCTGCTTAACAGCATGTTGAGAATACGGCATATCGTATGTCCTCAGGGCAGGCCACGGTTTTCTGTCATCTGCGTTTTAATTTCTTTTTCCCTTAAGATTATGATTTTTGAGATTAACAGGGAGGGTGAAGCTTTCTTGTCAGGGAGAAAATGCAAGTTTGAGTTTTGTGTTTGTCTTTGTTATGCATGGTTCTTTTTTTATTTTTAAAAGACAGCTTAAATTTCTTTTTTGGGAGACTTGTGTGACCTCCTGTGATGTTACATAACCTGGAGACAAATGGAAGGGGAACTAAAATTAAAGCAGATCTTTTATGAGAGGAGCTGATAGAGTCTAATGTTAAATGCATCTGGATTAAAGGCACAGTTCACCATTGCACTGGAGTTTACGGCTTCTACCCCTTACTTGCTCTGGTTTTCTGCGTTTGTCATTAGGCAGGACACTTGATCTTATGGCAGGGGTGGCAAATTGACCTGTCTAATGGGGCCGAGCGGAGTGAACTGGGCTGCAGTGAGACTCTCGCAAATTGAAGTTCGCACGTCCCATCCAAGCTACCATGTTCCAGCTAACTGTGGCCATGTGGCCACTTGTCTCAGGGATGCCAGATAGTCCAGTTTTTATGGAGCCTTGAAATCTGAATGCTCAACATTGACCTGTACAAACAAGACTATAAGCCATGTACAGGCCACCGATGGCTGTTTGTAATCATGTGGTCATTGGTGTGGGGAGTAAGATGACCCTGGTCTCAAAACCTGCATTTGCAGCATGCACGTCTGAAACTGTGACTCTTCCTGAGAGGTTCCCCCTTATTGAGAACATTCCCTGAATTTGAATTAGTCTTCATTTTTCTTCCTCTTCTAGTCTGCTTTTTTTTTTCTTTAATAGCTTTCATTTATTATCCTTTTGAGCTACTGAGGTTACATTGGTTTGGGAGTGTGAGATTGACTGTCAGAGGGAGAAAGGGGTGACGATGGAAACAAATACAGTGCCTTCCTCTTAAGCAGCTGTGTACACAAACGAACAGGCAGTTAATATCCAAAGATCCATGCCAGCAAGCAGCAACTGTCTTCAACTCCACTGACTCAGAGGTATCTCTAGGAAGACTAGAATACCTCCTGTAATAACACCGAGGGGCTAACATGTTCCGGGATTCTTTTAATTTGCTCAAGACATACGTACATATGGTACAAGTATTAGTTTTATGATCAGATCCTTATTTTCTAGAGGAAAGGCATGAATCATTAAAATTAACCTATAATTCCAGAACTTCCTTTTAGACATTAGTTTCACCTTCTAATCCCAGCCAACTTTCTTATTCTCTCATTTTCTCACACACACTCGTCCTTAGCAGAGTCGCTAATAAGGAGTAAAACTGGTTTGAATTACACCTTCTCTCACATCTCACTTGTCCTCTGGTGGAAGTGCTAATAAATAGTGAGATAAGCAAATGTTGGAAAGCAGGAAGGGAAAAAGAAATCAAGAAAACATAGACTACCTAAACTGGTTCATTGGCCTTTGAGCAAAATAGAATTGACTATATTTCATAAAGGAGATGACCAAAGAGGGACATTTTGTCTTAGAATCACATCTACTTTTTTGGTGTTCTTAGGAATGGAATCATAATATTCAATCAAATTTATGTAGTGCATTAATCTTTTGTTGGATTGCTTAATGGTTATTAATGAGTAAGAAGCTTCTGTAGTGGTATTAAGCACATCTATCATGGAAATACTCGAGATGGTATATAATCATAGCTTTCTTAATTTTTAGGTGATATAATCTTAAAAATTTGATCTTAAGGGGAAAAATGATCATCAAATACTCAAACCCCTTTAGTCTGTTTTTATGTTTGCTATTTATGTGATGGTTTATTCTATATTTTGTATTTTGTAACTTTGCATTCATCCTTTTTGATTGCAGCCCTAGAAATTCTTTCTTGAAAAGTTTGAAGAATCAGGAAAACACATGAGTTTGGTCATGGAGTGATTTTATTTTATCTTTTTTTAAAGAAATAGGCTCTCCATCTTGTCGCCCAGGCTGGAGTACAGTGGTACAATCATAACTCATTGTAGCCTCGAACTCCTGAGATCAAGTGATCCTCCTGCCTCAGCCTCTGAAGCAGCTGAGACTATAGGCTTGCACCACCACGCATGGCCTTATTTTATCTTAGAGGTCATAGGATAAGATAAAGCAATTAAAAACTATTATTCTTCCATCCCCCCCAATTATTTGTAGCTAAGCTTTAGTGAAACTCAAGATGTATGAAAAGCTGTTTCAGAGACAACAAAGTAGGGTCTATATTTTGTCATAGGCTTTCATATCTTGCATATTCTAAAAAAAACTGGGGAATAAATGAAGAGAGGTGGTGAATACATTTTTTGAACAGGAGCATACAGAGAAAGAATACTAAAGAAAATTATTGAAAATAAAAATTAGCTGAGCGTGGTGGTGCATGCCTGTAGTCCCAGCTACTCGGGAGGCTGAGGCAGGAGGATCACTTGAGCTTAGGAGTTTGAGGTTGAGAGTGCAGTGACCATAGCTCTCTGCACTCTAGGCCAGACAACAGAGAAAGACTTTGTCTCAAAAAAAAAAAAAAACCAAAAACCAAAAATTCATGTTATTGAATGTCACTTGCATATTGAAAGCTTTACCCGTTCCATAAAAAGATATATTCTTGTCACTAGGACTTTTTTTTTAAGTGACCTGAATCATCTAATTGCCAATACTACTTGAAGGTTTCAAAAAGTTTAATCTTTTTTTGGTATTTTTTCTTATTGATAGTAGTAAAGTCACTTCTCATGTTCATCTAGTTTTGGTTAAAATATGCATTATAGACAACTTCAGTTGATTATTTTTCCAAATTTTCTAGTTTATATGAAGCTGATGGAATATTTGTATGCAAATACCACCCCTCCTTTACTCATTGTAGTATAAGTTAAATTTGACTTAATAAAATCCAGGACAGAGTTTTTACTTAAAAGTTAAGTGGACTGTGTGCCAAGATTCAAGGAACTGGGTTTGATGACTGGCGATTTTCTTCGGCTCTGTGATTTGGTCATGGATTTGGTATTCGAGTGAAGTGGTTTGTGGAATGTTATTTCTTGTTCTGCATGGAGTAGACTCTGAAACTATGCGATGTACCAAACAGCCAGTCTTGGAACACATTCAGAATTGGTTCCAGTTCAACATGAGGCAGATCAAAAAGTCATTAGCAGAGAGTGAGCAAACCCGTTAGCGTGAGCCACAATAGGGTGGGCCTGGAAGCAAAAAATCCCAGCCTGTGTGACATAGGAGAGAAATCCTCTGCTGTCAGACATGCTTTTCATGATGTTTTATTCACCTCCAGCCCCAACTGAGAGATGACCAGTTTAGCTAAAGAAACATAGTAGCTTCACGTTGATAAAGGCTTTAATTGGCATTGGCACATTTAGCCATACTGTGTATGCTCATTATTTTTCTTTGTAATATATGATTAAGTGATATTAAACTTATTTGCAAAAGACTTTAAAATGCTAGCTACTTGCTTAAGGATATTTATTGATGATTAATATAGACTAAAATGGATATATTTAATAGTTTCTGGCTAGTTTTCTTAAATTAGAGCAGCTATTAAATCTTCACTAGAGTCTCATCTTTTATTATTTTGTAGAAGCCTTATTCATCTTTATATAGCATTTAATCTCATGAACTTCAAAGCTGAGTAGATTTGTCTAAGTCAGTTGTGAAAAAGCAAACTATGAGGTGGGCTGCTAAGTGCTAAAAAGAAGATTAAAAATGAAAGGTTTGCTTTTATTTCATTCTCAAGTTATCATCGGTGTTTTTATTTCCTTAGAACTAGTAGCAAGTCGCTTTAAAAAAGTTAAGTGTATGTTTGTTTTCTCCTGCCCACCCCAAATTTATGTCCTTACTACCTCTTATATAAAGAGGGGCTGTCATGTTGGTTGTAATTTCCCGAATACGAGGAAATTTCATCAGGCCATATGAGATGAAAGTGATCTGTATTGTTTTTCATTCAAGGCAGAAGAAATTTTAAGCAAAGGTTTGGGTAGGGGGAAGAAGAGAATTACCATCTGAAGCTCTTCTTTCCTTTATGCTAGCTCTAATTTTAAATAGAACTAGACATTTCCAGGCCTAGTTTTTATATGTATCTTCTTGTGTAATTAGGTATTCTGTGCCTATCTTCTTTTGTAACATGATATAGCAGCTTACTTATTTAGGCAACTTGAAAAAAATATGATTTATAGCGAGTTGAAAATAAAATCATCTTGCAAGCCAATTGGCAGGATTTAATATCATTTTAGTGTTGGTCTTACTTGGGTATCGTTGGGTTGGCACTTTAACATTTGGATCACGAATGTGCTAACTGCAGCACATTTTGTCGAGCATGTGTTATTGTAGTCCTACAGCGTGGTAGATACCGTGATGAGGATTCAGAGCCTTATGAGCAGAAAGTGAAAATACTCAAATGCTGTTGAGGGGAGATGGGTAAACAATGAAGCATGATCATTTCCTCATAGCCTAAGTGGGAACGTATCCCAACCTGGGTCAGTCCCTAAAATCAGAACAGGACAAGTAAGATGTCTATAAATGTCCTTTCAGCCTGAATAATATCAAATTAGAACTTTGAATCATTACCTAACGTTTAGATGTCACATGTCAATGAGAGTAATGATGATCATATAAATTGGCCACCTTAGGTAGGTTGGAAGAATCTTGTTCAACTTGGAGGCATGAGCAAGAGAGTAGAAAACTAGAAAGCAGGCCACTGTAAGGCCTTTACAATGTAGGTTTTTAATGCTAAAGTATATTGGATACTAAAATCGGGATTATACCACATATCTATTGAAGAGCTATTATCGATTCCACATCCTGCCACACACCCTTTCTCCTTTCAAGGAGTTAATTTTCTATTCTCATTCTGTTTGCCACTACAGGGAAATATGAAACAGCTTGGCAATAAGTGCCCAGCGCTGGGCTGCAG